TTTCCTATTGTTTAGTTTTTTATAATTCTACCCAGTCTACTCTCTAGTGTTAAGAAAGTTTATTCTTTCATTCTTTTTTTTTTTTTTTGGTTTATTTTTATTTTTGCTGGTGCTGGAGGCTGAACCCAGGGCCTCAAGCATTCTAAGTGCACATATTATCCCTGAGCTGTACCTCCAGTCCTGTCCTTTATTGTACTTTTGGAGTAGTTGTTAAGATAGTAATTTTAGAGTGACAAGTTAGAGATTATCTTCAATTCCTCATTTCAGATAAAGGTGATAGGTCCCTGAGAACTTGGGTGACACATTCAGGGTGGCAGAGCTTTGATGAAAGCCTAGGTTCTAGTCTTTGTGTTTTCTTTACTATCAGGCTGCTTCCCCCCTCGGGAAATTGTAGTTCTGCTTATTTCTGGATACACAAAGGCTGAAATGTGTTATGTTTTATCTTCAACTACTGAGAAGCAGATTTGCTGTGAAGCCAGTGAAACTTCAATAATGGGACCCCTCAGTTGTATGAGCTTTGGAGTGGGTTTGCATTAGCAAACATTTCCATCAGCATTTCTTCTCAATGAGATATTTTTACACACAGACTTAACTCTCCAAGCTGCCAACAATTTGTTGTGATCCTGTATATAACTTTGTATTTTGATTTTGTATTTTTTTTAAAAAGAAGTGCTTTCCTCCTGCTGCAAGATCATATATGTTTCTGGCTCTATGAAATTGGATCTGTTTCTGATGTCCAAAGATACAATCAGTTGGGAATTTCATTTAAATATTTTAGATTTTTAGTTAAAAATTTTGAATACACTTAAGTTACTTTTATGTTTTAAGTGAATTAAAATTTTATTATATAAAATTAAAACTTGTATTAAAATAAGTTTCAGGTGAGTTACCTAAATTGTGAATTCCAGATAATTACTAAGAATACATTTCCAGAAAATCTCTTTATTATTCTCAAACTCACAGTGACTTTTGCCACTGAGTTTTCATATCGGTTGGTTAAATATAATTTTAAAACAAATAAGAGCTAGGGTTGTGGCTCAGTGGTAGAGTACTTGCCTAATGCGTGCAAGGCCCTGGGTTTAATCCTCAGCACCATATAAAAATAAATAAATAAAAACCAAAAGTATAGTGTCCAACTACAACTACATATATATATATATATGTTTAAATAAAAATAAAACAGATGATAGATTTTAAAAGTATAATACGCAACTTTTTAAAATTTTTTTGGTAGTTGCTCAAAACATTACAATGATCTTGACATATCATACATTTGATTCAAATGGGGTACGTAATCTTATAATACACAACTTTTTTACATGCTATTTTTATTAGCTACACTAGAGGCATTACATGCTGCTAATGGGGAGTTACCTATTATAGTTGTAATAGCAGAATCTCCCCCTCTCCCTATGCTCTACATATACAGAATATTTAGTATTTTTTACTGTTTACTTACAAAGTAGGATAATAGCATTATTTTGCTTTGCAGAAGTAGACATTAAGGCCATTGCAAGTAATAATAAAATTTTTCTTATGGGGACTTCTTATTCTTAGAGAACTTATTCCTTTTTAAAGGAGGATGAGTGTTTTCCTAGATAATACACTGTGGAATATGCTGATTATTTAGAGGAGGAGAGATTTTTTTTCAATGTGTTTCAATACATTTTAATGCTATTACTTTTTGAGATTGTTTTAACTCAAGTAGCATGTGGTTCAGTTGAATTTTTGTAAACTGTGGCTCTATTCTTTGATTTATTTATTTCTGAGGACATAACCAAAAGAAAAATGTTCTAAATCCTTAAGGTCTTAGTTCAAATACCTAGCCCTGGTTATCTTTACAGGTAAATATTTAATAAGTGTGATCAAATCTTTCTCCCTAAATGCACTGCTCCTGGAATGCTCTTGGCTCCTACCTGGACCTGTAACTTTGAAGCAACTGCACATCTCAGGATGCTCTACTCCTTCACTCTTCCTTTTCTGTCTTTTTTTTTTTTTTTTTTTTTTTTTT